TTTCTCCGTTTCATTCATTTCGGTTTTTCCTCCTCGTTGATTTGATTGAAGATCCCGGAGAATTCCGTGTGATTAGAAGACAATGTAACACATATCTAATAGACTAATTGGTAGTAGCTATCCACATAAGGCACCCACTGGTTCTACGGAGATAAAGTCACCTGATGGTAAAGACCATATTGCCTTCCTCCTCACTCCGGCCAAATTGTACTCCACACGCCTCTGTAAGCTCCTGCACACTATTACACACCTTTAAACACGAGCATATATCCTGTTTGCACGTACTTATAACCTAACCGCTAAGCGTACATGTGTTTACCTCTTAAGGGCAAGGTCATATCTATTAATCAATTTTACTGATAAACGGTCTGCTCTCTCATTGTACTTGATGAAAAAGGTCCCTGTGGGAGCCGTCTGCTCAATGTCACCTAGCTTCTGTTGATGTATAGTACAAAGATTGTTTGAAAACTGAAAACAGAACTTCTACTTTATAATGTTATCAAAATCGTGAATCACCAGTCCACCTTGCTTTTTTTGTTTAGGATCAGATGTCGTCCAATCCTTCCAATCTCTCCGTACCAGCATTGAGTTCATGGATTCATAAATACGGCTGTTTTATATGTGTTTGTAACCTTTCGTGTATATAGCAGTATTATAACAAATCTTACACTGTGAACGCGCTTCAAAATTTAAATCTCTGGATCCGTTTTCAGCACAACTGTTGATGTAATACACCATGGATTTAGGAGGTTTTTAATGTTTGTTTTTGTTTTTCTACCTTAGGGTATTATATTTGCACAGTACTCCATTGAAACTATAATTCTAGAAAATAATCTTTGTCAAAATGACTATGCACTTTCAATATTTACTAGACTGTTGCCTGCTTTAATTGATATGTCAATCACTCTGAAAAGCTCCTCACATTTAAGAGTGTACTTAGTCCATTTTTTCACACTGATCCTATTAAGCTGTGGAGGTGATGGATCAATCTTCTGCTAGTTGTAGAAAGATTCAGTTGTCTGCTAGTCAACAAAATCACCGTCGTCTGCTCTTTAGTAAATCTCACAATCAATACTGAATATTTCAATAAAATAATAAAGAAATCTTACAAAATGTTCAGAAAAAGACATCAAACAGACGACTTTGATGCCTTTCAATCTTACAACACTTAATTGTCAGGTTGAATCAGTGTCTGTCCTAAGTTCCCTTCAGTTTTGTGTATGACTAAATTCTTTTGAATGTCGTCTGCTTCCATGGTACATGATCATCATAGGTACAGCTCTGTCCAGACGTGTGCTATCAGAACCTGTCATGTGCACTTCAGATACCAGGCAGCACATGGCCTCAAATGATGCAATTTTACGAGGAAAGTGTAGATTTTTTTTACAGATATTGCATATCTACCACACCAAATCCTGATTTACACACGATGGTTCTGCTCCACATGTAATAAAACAACATTTCATCACATTTCTGACACGATCACATTCCACTGTTATCACAGAAAACATTGGAGCTGTATACACCAAGAATGTTCAACCATACAGGTAAACGTGATGCGATGTTGCTCAATTCAATGTCACTATCCATTCAAGGTCATATTCCACATGAATTCAGTCCTTTATCTTAAGTCATAAAAAAGCTTACTACTTTCAAGTGAAAGTTTTATTCCATACTTATTTAGTAAAAAGTTAACTCATACAAAATTAGTAAACCTGATTCAAGGTCACTAAATCAAAGGTCAAAATATCTCAAAAAAAGTGTACTAGTACACTTAATTATTATCCCAAGGTCATATTCCGGGCAAGGTTACTGCATTAAATCCAGGGTCTTAATCCACACTTACTTAGTCAAACTGTTTTCATGTAAAGGTCATATCGGAAACAATCCCAGGTATTATTCCGCACAAACTCAGTTCTTTATAGTTATATATCCTGCACAATTCAGAACAATATTGAGACTCCCTCCTGTTCCCCGAACATAAGATGTGTGAAATGACACATACAATGTAATTGCGGCATGGAACTCTAGACTTCAATAAAACAAGCCTCTGTTTGTAATCAAGGTCATAGAAAACCTTGTACATATATATTTTACCGATTTATAACAATGGCTCCCTTGCCAGTTTTATCCAGTCCAGTACCAACAGAAATATATGGCACCTCTAATACTATATATGGCTCGATACCACTTCACAGTGATGATGTCGTCGTTGGAGAATTCCTCTATACATCCGTATCAATTGTTCCATGACTTGACACGGTTTGTCTGGTAAACTGCCTGGCTACTGTACATATCACCCTTGGTGTGATTAGCACTGAAACAGGTAGTGTGCAACAGACGTCACTCTCCAATTATATTGAATTATCCGTCTGGGCATGGAGGGATCCCAACCTGCCCTTTAAATTGTCTGCAGCCCCTACTGGCTGCCACCACTCTGCCGTTTTAGTTGAGGTGTCACTCTAAATCAACTACGGAAGTTTATTAACACAGTAGGCCTATGTACCATGCACAATCAAATAAAGTTTGTTTGATATCCCACAGCGTGAGTTTACACTCTCCTGACTTCACTATTCCCTCTAACTACTATAATTCTGAGGCCCGAACACACAGTGTGTTCAATAAACCTTGCGAACCTATGTTGTATTTTTCTGCTTGAGTGATTCCAATGTCAACCTTTTCCCAGCGTAGTCAATCAGCCGTTTACCTTCGTCTGCAGAATCAATGAATATTCATACCGCCTCAGGCTTAACGAAAGCTTCCTAGATGCTGACTATATATACCTGTAACTAAATACACCTGTCAAACTGGTGCACCTGTATCCTTAATCAGCCTGCTAACTAATTAAGCAAAGCAGCGTTAATATATTCAAAGACTAACAAACATAAATCTGTCTTCTGTGTTACAAACTGTTCAACGTTCACCTGAAGTATTATATAGAAATGACCGGTACACTTTGTTACCTTGATAAACGAGATAAATACAGGTAAAATGAAGACAGGTATATGACATCATGTTTTCAGACGAGGTCACTCTACCATGCTGGTTATATGGTGCTAATTCACCTATTGTACAATAGGTATGTGGCGTTTGTGGTTTCTCAGAGTCGTGACACAGACACACAAGCCCACCCTTGTAACTGTCCATAGATCAGCTTTCAGGCCCCGTGCAAGGGTTGATTGCATTCAACTTGAAGAATTACTCTATCCATTCACCGTACAATTTTTCATCATCAAGTTTCGATAGTTTACAAGTAAGAAGTAGCCGATTTTGACAGGTGTGATTGTAAGTGTATACACAACAGGTAAATAAATTATATGTACAGGTGTTTCTCGTTTAAAGGTAATATTTACCTGCTGTTTACCTCTCAATGGACTTTCATGATTACCGCTAGAACTAACAACATCTATATAATTCAAATTAACTTCTAAAAGATCATGAATAATTTCATTTCAAAGACTGATAATAATATAAGCCGATACAAAATTCCATGACATTAATTAAACCTTATCATCCCTAATAAAGAGTCAAAAATAGACTCTTCTGAGGACTGACTGGGTCAGTCTAGTTAAACTAAGGGGTGCATGGGTATATAAAGATACAATTTAATTATATTGATGTAAAGTGTAACCCTGTATGGCCTTGTCTTGAATCCAGAATTAACTTTTGATAAGGTAGATTGAAAAATATACAATACTTACAATGAAAGAAGAATTATACTTGAACCATGATCAACTTAAAAAAAATATCTTTATGAACAATGCTTGCAAATTCCCTCGAGTTTGTTTACGGGGAAAAACTGATTGGTATATACCTATCAAGTCTCAAGATGTCTAAAACCTTAGTTATACTTTTAACGATGGCCCTATTTAATGAATTAATAGCTCAAAAAACATAATCCATAAATTGAGTGAACTCCACCAAAAAACAAATAGTAAAGAATTTTGCTGATTTCAAAAGTCAAAAATAACAGTACAGCGAGAAATTTTGAGTTTCCCTTAAATTTGGTAGACTTGGAAAGGATGACAAAAAAAATCCCAATTTTTTGATGAAAACAGCAATACAATGATTTACTGGAACAGATTCGAATTATACAAAAGACACAAACATTAAGATTTCATCAGAGATTTCCAACAAAGCAAAAGAGATAGATATAATCTGATTTCATCACGAAACCCCCTCAGGGTCCTCCTACAATTTCTAATCACAAAGTGTTGAGTAACAGCAACAGGTTCATTAATGACCTTGGTAAAAACAGACACAATAGGCCTAGACCATGGGTCGGGGCACATTTAAACTGTGTGACAGCTTGCACTGTAGTGACGATTGATACTTATCAGTATACGATCTTAATCTCAGGGGGAAACCAGTGACATTGGTCCCCCTTTATTACCTGTTTTTCATTAAATGGTTGGGAGGGAGTACTTTAATGATAGGTAGCTCAGAGGCCACCTGGCAACATATTGTCTGGATAAACCGACTAAGCATGGAGGCAGAAACCTTAATCTCAGTCCTAAATCATCACTACATCAGTGGCAGGTTTTCTGCCAGTCACTCAGCACGTACACCCTGCCATAAGGTAATTTTTTAACAAACACAGACACAGGTTTTTGTACAAAAGTACAATAATAGAGACAAGAATAGGATATTTTTTTAATGAGTTTATTTATTCATCATTTTCAGTTTTCCGTTTTTCACAAAATTCCTAAAAAAAACATTTTTTTATAATTACAAAGGCTATTTCCTAAAATGTATTCTCTCAGCCTATGTTTTTATTAAATTGTTCAACAAAAAGTCATAAATTAACCAATTATAGGGTTGTCCTGTAGATGGTAAACACAACATCATCAATTATTTTAACAAAAGTGCTTCCATGGCACACGGGAGTGAAACCCACACCTTCCGTCACACTGAGAAAGTTAGAACGCTTTCAAACACGGTAGACCTCACCCACACCAGCGGGATGGATCCAGTTTTTGATTGTTTTATTTTTGACTCACCCCAATAGGAAATCCATCCTCACTCCCTGTACCACTGATTTTGTCCCGATATTGTGGATACCTCTTGGCCAGTAGTTCCATAAACGCCTCCTTTTTCCGTGCAGAGTCCTGTAATAGATAGTACATCCGGTACTGGAGGTAATGCAAAATGTAGGTTAAAACCATATTTATCATCACGCTAGCGACAACAATGTTTCATCACGCTAGGAACAATGGCATATACATCCTCCTGTAAAAAAGATTAATTTAGCTCTCATACAAGTCTGATATGATTTAAAAGTGGGTTCCTGTTGAATTCAAATATTTTTAAGCACCCCGACTCGTCTTTTTCTTCGCATCAAAAAAGGAATATACCTTTCAAAACCATCCCTTTGACTTTTCAGTTAATCTAATAAGCCACTTACATTGCATTATTGGCTTAAAATAAATTGGAACATTTTTCTTATTATTCTAGAACTCATCTTTAGGATTTTCTTTAACTGGCGGCATTAAAGGAAAGTTAAGAATTTTGCCAGATGCTTGAAAAATTACTTTGATGCTTTTAAGAAGTGAAATATTTAAATCAGTGGGAAACTTAAATAATTAAAGGGAGATAACCCTGACATTCATATAAATTTCTTGAGAGTTCATTATAAATATGTGTGTATGTAACCTTCATTCACCTACAAAATTATTATCATATTCCTTTAATTTGGTTTAAATGTCTTTTACATTTGAACATGGCATATTTACCAACTGACTAACAACTATGTACAATGAGAAAATACAAAAGAAGACACATTGAAATCTAGGACATCATACAAAATGGGTGACATCAAAGTATGGTACACAGGAATATCTACCATATACTGACTAGGATGTGCAACAAAGATTGGGGATATCTACCATATACTGACTAGGATGTGCAACAAAGATTGGGGATATCTACCATATACTGACTAGGATGTGCAACAAAGATTGGGGATATCTACCATATACTGACTAGGATGTGCAACAAAGATTGGGGATATCTACCATATACTGACTAGGATGTGCAACAAAGATTGGGGATATCTACCATATACTGACTAGGATGTGCAACAAAGATTGGGGATATCTACCATATACTGACTAGGATGTGCAACAAAGATTGGGGATATCTACCATATACTGACTAGGATGTGCAACAAAGATTGGGGATATCTACCATATACTGACTAGGATGTGCAACAAAGATTGGGGATATCTACCATATACTGACTAGGATGTGCAACAAAGATTGGGGATATCTACCATATACTGACTAGGATGTGTTCAACAAAGATTGGGGATATCTACCATACAACAAATCAGAAAATTACAGATATTTATTGTCAAACAAATTAGGAGATCAAAATTATAGATATCTACGGTCAAACAAATTAGGAAATTAAAATTATAGATATCTAAGGTCAAACAAATTAGCAGATCAAAATTATAGATATCTACGGGCAAACAAATTAGCAGATCAAAATTATAGATATCTGCGGTCAAACAAATTAGCAGATCAAAATTATAGATATCTGCGGTCAAACAAATTAGCAGATCAAAATTATAGATATCTACGGTCAAACCAATTAGGAGATCAAAATTATAGATATCTACGGTCAAACAAATTAGGAAATTAAAATTATAGATATCTACGGTCAAACAAATTAGCAGATCAAAATTATAGATATCTACGGTCAAACAAATTAGCAGATCAAAATTATAGATATCTACGGTCAAACAAATTGGCAAATCAAAATTATAGATATCTAAGGTCATAACAAATTAGGAAATTAAAATTATAGATATCTACGGTCAAATAAATTAGTAGATCAAAATTATAGACATCTAATGTCAAACAAATTAGGAAATTAAAATTATATATATTTATAGGTCAAACAAATTAGCAGATCAAAATTATAGATATTTACCATAAATCACATTAGGAGATCAAAATTAAAGACATCTACTATCAAACAAATCAGGAGATCCAAATTATAGACATCTAATGTCAAACAAATTAGGAAATTAAAATTACATATATTTATAGGTCAAACAAATTAGCAGATCAAAATTATAGATATTTACCATAAATCACATTAGGAGATCAAAATTAAAGACATCTACTATCAAACAAATCAGGAGATCCAAATTATAGACATCTAATGTCAAACAAATTATAGACATCTCCTGTAAACAAATCAGGAGATCCAAATTAAAGATATCTACCATTATAAATATTGCAACAAGACATAAAGGAACTCATTACTGATAGTACTGTATATATATTCTTCAATATTTAGGAATATAATTTGCCAAAGAAGATCGGGAGATTAAGGCTAGGTGTATATATAGACCCATACATACTGTGAGAAATACTAAAGAACACGTCAACATTCTGAAATATTTACCCTTACACATCAATGTTTCAGAACATCTACCACATTACAGGCAGGGTGAAACAAAGGAAAGTGTCTTAGACAGTGAATATCTGCACCATAACATAACCTTTCAGATAGGAACATATGGACTAATACATCAATTTTAGGAAACGGAAAATTCCCACTTTATAATGAATACCAAACCCAAACCATGATGTCAGATTTCCTTTTTTTTTTTTGGAAACTGAAATATCAAAGTTTAGAAATATCTAATGTAATAAGAAAGATGTCAAAATTGAGACTTCAAAGATTAGGAATATCTACCGTAAAATGAGCTGCGAGAATCAGGGGAAACCCGCTGTGTCAGATGATGTCAGAACATAGTGTCCGCCTTCTAACAACAGTTCACCCGTGCCACAATCCAGGTAAATCTAACTTTAGAACTTATGAGACGATAAAAAGAATCAAAACATCAATCAAACTGATTGTGATTTATACAGGAAAGTTTTAATTATTTGAATGAAATTTGACAGGATGAAAAATGGATGATGAAAAAGTGCCAGTTGTTGATGCAGGTAAACAAAAACAAGAGGCCCAATGGGCCTGCATCGCTCACCTGGTATAAATCTCACACTTGTAACCTTAAAAGTGATCTAAAACAAAGCTACAGGCAAAATATCAGTATTTATGATTAAAAGTCATTCAAAAGAACCTGTTAAAAGATTTAAAAACATTTCACCCCTTTGACCTTGAAAGTCGAACAAGGTCATTATGTTGAACAGATTTTATAGCACTTCATCTCAGGATACAACTTGCAAAATAACACCACCCCATCTTTTCGTTTACTGAAATTAGCTCATTTAAATGTTTATACATATTTGACCAAATGTGACATTGAAAAATGGTCAAGATCATTCACATGAAAAATCTAGATAGCCCTTCATCCAAGCATGCAACTGGCTAAATATTAACATCCTGAGCATTTTGGTTATTTAAGACAATTAACACCTTTGACCTTGAATATAAGTAAAGGTCATTCATTTGAACAAACTTGATAGCCCTTCATCCCAGTTTGCTTCTTGCCAAATATCATCACCCTTAGGCTTTTTGGTTATTAAGAAGAAGTTGTTTAAAGTAAAATATTGACGGACGACAAACGCCGCACCGAGCCGCAAAAAGACGGCCAATAAGTGAGCTTTGATTAATTGATACTGAAAGAAGTGAATGTATTATTTAAAGGTGGGTACCTTTTGGCGTTCCTTAATATTCCACAGTTAGAAAGACATATTTTGGTTATTTTTTAAGTACCAAATAAGGTTGAATCTTTTAAACAAGAGGCCCAAGGGCCTTAGCGGTCACCTGAGTTATATCATAGATACTGGTAGCTTTATTTTATTGTTTAGATGTGATGTGGAAATCAGCATGTAAACTAAGTGAAATACAATACTTGTCATGTCATCAATGGATAAGAATTTGAAAATATTGGTAAATGTTCCCTTTGGGGCCCCGCCCTAGCCCCTGGGGATGGGGCAGGAATCCTAATTTTACAAAGTAAAACTCTCATTTACCCAAGATGATTCTGACTAAGTTTGAGCAATTTTCTGCTGAAAATGGATAAAATATATACCGAAAAGTGTTATTTCCCTATATAAACTATAT